TCAATGTTTTGTTGCTAAAACGGATTCGATGTTTTTTGAATCAGGCCTTTGAAAACCAAGATGGCTAAGTACTTCAGTCTTACCTTTATTTCAAACATGTTGCCACTTGTTCTAAATGTGTGATTTCAATAATCTAAGGGACTGAAAACAGGGAGGTCCATGCCAAGAATATGAAAGCCACTGGGTTCTCAGTAACCCAGAACAGGAGAGCCCAACTGCTCACCCAGCTGAAACACAGCAGAGACTGCCAAGATTTGCGGAAGTGTACTGGAAGGTCAATACAAGGGGCGGAGCTAAGGAGGAGCTGTGACTAGGAGGTTTCCCGAGAAGGGCTCCTCAAGCAAAGGCTTTCACATAAAATATAATGAAACAGGATGTTCTTAAGAATTAAACTATAGCAAACGCCACTGTCTCATAGAAATTTTTGATGAAGATGGGTCAAATGACAAGGAACACATAACGTAAAATATCAAAAAGAAAAATACATAAAGACTAGTTACATCCAATGAACAACCCCAAATAAACATTCTTGCAAAGATAAATGATAAGAAAGAAAAACAAAAGAAAGCAAAGAAGAAGAAAAAGCAGAACACCCGCATTGAGTGAAGATGAATAACAACAACTAAGGAAAAATGCACCAGGGGCAATATAAAGGAACACGCTGTCTATTTCTTCTTGCACAAACCTTCGTATTTTATATGTTCTACAAAATCTATGAACATACCTATTTGGTCCGGTCTGAGCATGTATTTAAGCAGCACAGTCTTCTGTTGTCCAGCTAACTCCCTCTGAATCTGACAGTGTCCTCCTCCTCTTATATACATGTTGTGTGAATGCTACTTCTTCCTTTTATACTCTACCATGCTTAATCAATGTTCTTCATTGAGTCCGGTGTTGACTATATTATGTGATCAAAACATACAAATTAGAGCAATGAAAAGTTGAATTGGGTGTGCAATATGTTACTCGATGTTTTGATGCTAACCACTGATTCAATGTTTTTTGCTCTAATTTGTATGTTTTGAGTGTTGCACACCCAATTCAATATTTCTTGCTCTTATTGGTATGTTTTGAGTTTTGCACACCCAATTCAATGTTTTTTGCTCTTATTTGTATGTTTTGAGTGTTGAACAACCCATTCAATGTTTTTTGCTCTTATTTATATATTTTGAGTGTTACACACCCAATTCAAGGCTTTTTGCTCCTATTTGTAATGTTTTGACTTTTCAACACCCGATTCAATGTTTTTGCTCTATTTGTATGTTTTGAGTGTTCAACACCTGAGTCAATGTTTTTTGCTCTTTTTTGTATGTTTTCAGTGTTCAACAACTCAATGTTCTTTGCTGTGATATGTACGTTTTGAGTGTTCAACACCAATTCAATGTTTTTGCTTTAATTTGTATGCTTTGAGTGTTCAACACCCAGTTCAATGTTTTGCTCTAATTTGTATGCTTTTTGTGTTTCACACCCAGTTCCAGGTTTTTCGCTCTAATTTGTATGTTTTGAGTTTTCAACACCCGATTCAATGTTTTTTGCTCCTATTTGTATGTTTTGAGTGTTGAACAACTCAATGTTGTTTTGCTCTGATATCTAAGTTTTGAGTGTACAACACCTGATTCAATGTTTTTGTTCTAATTTATATGATTTGAGTGCGCCACACCCAGTTCAATGTTTTTTTGCTCTAATTTGTACATTTTGAGTTACTTATTATGATTGCCAATGTGGGGAGACAGATTTGAAACTGAAAACAAAAATCTAGTAGATATAAAGGAAATGTGGCAACTCCTCGAGTGATAAGGTTAAGGAAGAAAAATTTAGAAGATCAAAAAAACAAATTAGAGCAACAAAACATTGAATCGGTTGTTCATCACTAAAAACATCCAAATAAGAGCAAAAAAATTGAATCGGGTGTTCAACACTCAAAACATACAAATTAGAGCAACAAAACCTTGAATCGGGTGGCTGTTCAATATGTTACTCAATGTTTTGTTGCTAAAACGGATTCGATGTTTTTTGAATCAGGCCTTTGAAAACCAAGATGGCTAAGTACTTCAGTCTTACCTTTATTTCAAACATGTTGCCACTTGTTCTAAATGTGTGATTTCAATAATCTAAGGGACTGAAAACAGGGAGGTCCATGCCAAGAATATGAAAGCCACTGGGTTCTCAGTAACCCAGAACAGGAGAGCCCAACTGCTCACCCAGCTGAAACACAGCAGAGACTGCCAAGATTTGCGGAAGTGTACTGGAAGGTCAATACAAGGGGCGGAGCTAAGGAGGAGCTGTGACTAGGAGGTTTCCCAAGAAGGGCTCCTCAAGCAAAGGCTTTCACATAAAATATAATGAAACAGGATGTTCTTAAGAATTAAACTATAGCAAACGCCACTGTCTCATAGAAATTTTTGATGAAGATGGGTCAAATGACAAGGAACACATAACGTAAAATATCAAAAAGAAAAATACATAAAGACTAGTTACATCCAATGAACAACCCCAAATAAACATTCTTGCAAAGATAAATGATAAGAAAGAAAAACAAAAGAAAGCAAAGAAGAAGAAAAAGCAGAACACCCGCATTGAGTGAAGATGAATAACAACAACTAAGGAAAAATGCACCAGGGGCAATATAAAGGAACACACTGTCTATTTCTTCTTGCACAAACCTTCTTATTTTATATGTTCTACAAAATCTATGAACATACCTATTTGGTCCGGTCTGAGCATGTGTTTAAGCAGCACAGTATTCTGTTGTCCAGCTAACTTCCTCTGAATCTAACTTTGTCTTCCTCCTTTTATATGCATTTTGTTTTAATGCCACTTCTTTCTTTTTTAATATTATATACCAGGTTCCATCCATGTTTTTCATTGAGTCCGGTGTTGACTATATTATGTGATCAAAACATACAAATTAGAGCAACAAAACCTTGAATCAGGTGTTCAATATGTTACTCAATGTTTTGTTGCCAACACCCTATTCAATGTTTTTTTGCTCTGATTTGTATATTTTGTGTGTACAACACCTAATTCAATGTTTTTTGCTCTAATTCGTACGTTTTGAGTGTTCCACACCTGATTCAATGTTTTTGCTCTGATTTGTATGCTGTGAGTGTTCAATACCCGATTCAATGTTTTTTTGCTCTATTTGTATTTTTTGATCTTCTAAATTTTTCTCCTTTAACCTTACCACTAATGGAGTTGCCACATTTTCTTTTTATCTAGGTTTTTGTTTTCAATTTCAAATCTGTCTCTGGCAATCATACTCTACAACATTTAAAGGCAAAGTGCTAAAAAACCACTTGCTACAGACATATTTTCAATAAAAGATATTTTACTCTGTGATTATAAATGTAAGTCAATAAATTGAGTTTTGATTCATCAAGGAAGGCTAGATTATATACATTCAATAGTGATAATACTTTTTCCATCATCTTTTAATGTTTTTTCTTAAACTACATTTGTGCACATTGGTTCATAAAGATTCTTCTTCTTAAAGAAATAAGTGATACTTTCCATAGGTTTAACAGACTGGCTTCTAGTAACAGCAGCACTCTCCCTCATTACAAACTTAAGAATGTCTCCATTGCCAAGTCAGATTCTTGTTTTAAAACCACCGTTAACATGTTGTTTTGATACATTATCAATTTCTCTGGTAAAAATAGCATCATCTTATCCATGAAAAATGGACTGGATATGCCCACCAGATATTTCATGAGTAGGCCTTGAATAAATGAAATTATCAGGCCTTTGGAAACCATGATGACCAGGTACTTCAGTCTCAGCTGTGACTTCAACTGTGGTGCCACTTGTTCTGAGTGTGGGACTTCAGTAATCCAGGGGATTGAAAACAGGGAGGTCCATGCCAAGAATATGAAAGCCACTGGGTTCTCGGTAACCCAGAACAGGAGCCCAACTGCTCACCCAGCTGAAACACAGCAGAGACTGCCAAGATTTGCAGAAGTCTGCTCAATGATTAATACAAGGGGCAGAGTTAAGGAGTAGCTTTGACTGGGGGATTTCCCAGAAAGGGCTCCTTTTGCAAAGGTTGTAACATAAAGAATAAAGAAACACTATTTTAAAAAATTAAAATACTGCAAACAACACTGTAAAATAGGAATTCTTGAAGAAGATGGGTCAAATGACAAGGAATGCATAAAATATAAGAAAAATATAAAAAAAGACTTAAATATTCATTATATCCAATGAACAACCCCAAATAAAGATCCTTGTAAAGATCAATGGTAAGGGGAAAAAAAAAACCAAAGGAAGTAAATAAAACAAACAAAAACAAAAACATCATATATTGGATTAAGATGAGTAATAACAACTAAGGGAGAACACACCAGGGAAACTGTAAAGAAACACTCTGTCCATTTCTTTTTCACCCAATTTGGTATTTGGTATGTTCTACCGAATATAAAAACATTGGTCCTGGCTGAGCATGTATTTACACAGCCCAGTCTTCTGTTGTCCATTTAACTTCCCCTGAGCCTGTGTTCGCGTCCTCTTATATGCATTTTGTTTGAATGCTACTTCTTCCTTTTATACCCTACCATGCTCTATCAATGTTTTTCATTGAGTTCGGTGTTGGCTATGTTATGTGATCAAAACATACAAATTAGAGCATCAAAACATTGAAATGGTGTTCAAAAACTTACTGAACACCCGATTCAATGTTTTGTTGCTCACACCCAATTCAATGCTTTGTTGCTCTACTTTGTATTTTTGATCTTCTAAGGTTAAATGAGTTGCCCCTTTTTTTTTAATCTCGGTTTTTGTTTTCAGTTTCATATCTGTCTCTTTAGAATGGCAATCATATTCAGTAAAATTTAAAGGCTGACAAAACAACTTGCTGCAGACACATTTTCAATAAGAGATATCTTAATTTGTGGTTGTATGTAAGTCAATAAATTAGTTTAGTTGTGATTCACCCAGGAAGGCAAGAAGTGTTTCATTCAGTAGCCGTAACTGTTTTCCATCACCATTAATTATTATTTTTTTCGTAAACCACGTGGGTGCAGATTGGTTCAGGAAGATTCTTTCCATTAAATAAACAAGTTATATTTTTGATACATTTAACAGACTGGGTTTCAGTAAGAGTTGCAATATTCCTCATTACAAACAAGGATAGTCTCAATTGCCAACTTAAGTACTTGTTTTATGGCCAACATTAACTTGCTTTTTGACAGTTTATTAATTCCTCTTTCAAAAACACCATTCTATTATTCATTACAAATAGACTAGATATGTCGACTAGATATTTCATGAGCAGGCCTTGAGTGAAAGAAATTTTTGTACCTTTGGAAAACATAATAAATAGGTGCTTTACTCTCAGCTATTACTTCAAACATGGTGACACTTGTTCTCCCCTGGGTCTTAATTCATCAATGTGACTGTAAACAGAGAGGCCAATTTCATGAACATAAAAGTAATTGGGTTCTCAGTTTCCCTGGACAAGACCAGCATTGCTCACTCAGCTGAGATAGTGCCAGCTGTGGGCAGGTTGCTCAAATATAAATATAAGGGGCAGGGTTAAGCCTGAGCTGTGACTGTGATTTCCCAGGAAGGTCTCAGAAAGCAAAGGGTTTAACATAGCTAATCTGACAGACACCCTGGTGGGCTTAGAAGGGTATTATCTGCTTGGTGTGGGCATTAGAGAAGAAGGTAGTTGCACCTCAATAAAGTGGAGCACATAATAACAATTGATTTTTCTACTTATTAAATATATAGATGTTCATTTTAAACAGTTGAGACTATAGAGTACTACAAAAAAAATTTTTAAGATAAGGAGCTAATTATCTGGTATATGTGACCAGCTCCCAAGTACAGTCTGAAGGAACTGGCTGGCCAATTACATAAAAACATTTAAGAAACAACTTTCTTTTGAAATTTCATATCATACACAATGGAATACGATGCTGTAGTATTAAAGAAAGAATGCTTACCATTTACAACAGCATTGGGATGGAGAAGGAGAGTATTATACTAAGCAAAATAAGAGAGTCAAGAAAGATAATATCACATGTGGAATCTGAAGAACAAAAAAAGACCCAGAGACAGACTATTGACCTCAGAATGTAGGCAGGGGAGGGTGGGTAGGAAGAGATGAACCAATGAATTTGGATTGATAGATGCAAAAATAACTACTGTTGGCAATAATGTGGAGAGGTCGGAATGATTATGCACTGTGGTTAGGAATGTAAAATGCTATAGCTACAGTGGAAAACAGTGTGAAGGTTCCTCATAAAGTTAAACTTAGAATAACCTTATAAGCCAGCAATTCCACTTCTGGGTACATACTCAAGTTGATAACAAGAGCTCAACTAAGTATTTGTACAAACTCGTTCATAGAAGATTTATTCACAATTCATAAAATGTGAAAGTAACTCTAGTGTCCATTGATGGGTGAATAGGTAAGCAAAATGTGGTATACACAAACAATGGAATATGCTCAGCCTTTAAAAAAGGAAATTCTGTAGTATGTTACAACATGGATAAATCTTGAGGTTGTTATTCTAAGTGAAATAAAGCACAAAAGAACAAATATTTTATGACTGTAATTATTCCATGTACGTAGGTTAATCAAAATCCTAAAGACACAATGTGTAATGGTGGTTGTCAGGGTCTGGGGGGGGAGGAAATGGGAATTTTTTGTTTAAAAGGTAGTGTTTCAGTATTATAAGATGAAAGGAGTTATAAGGATGGGTGGTGGTCATGTTTGCACAATGTGAATGCATTTAATGCCATTAAATTGTACTTTAAAATGGTTAAGATAGTAAATTTACATAATGTTTGTTTTGCCACCCTAAACAATATTTTTAATGAATGTCTCTGAATGTGAATGCCAACCCTATACCTGAATACAGAATGAAGACAGTCCTAGCCCTGTCTGGTTTGGCTCAGTGGTTGGAGTGTCATCTGGACAGAAGGGTCACAGGTTAGATTCTCGAACAAGGGCATGTAGCTTGGTTGCAGTCTCAATCCTGGAACAAAATTAGAGCACGTACTCGGAGGCATCTAAGTCTCTCTCTCTCTCTCTCTCTCTCTCTCTCTCTCTCTCTCTCTCTCTCTCTCTCTCTCTCTCTCTCTCCCCTCCTTACCTTCCACTCTTTCTAAAAATAAAAAATATATGAAATAATATCCTTCAGTGAGGACTCCAAAAAAATAGATAGATAGATGATAGATAGATAGATAGATAGATAGATAGATAGATAGATAGATAGATGGTAAATAATTTAAAAAAGAATGAAGGCAGCCCTAGTGTGGCATCTGGCTCTCATGGTAGTAAGGTTGATTGATTTTCAAAAAACAAACCAACAAAAACTCAGTTGCCTGGTTTCCTTTCTGTGACTTTACAGCTCTCAGATGTTCTGAGGTGGTACATTGCTGCCCTGATCTGAAGCTTGTTCATGGAAGGAAGCTAATCAACTGAGATAATGTTTATGCTCCTTAAAAATCTTTCCCTTTGCCTTAACCATCTGCTAATGCCATGGGTAAGTCTTCTCCTCCCTCCTCTTCTGCCACAGACTACATGCTTCAACATTAGGGAACTAACTCAGTTTAATATCTTCAGAAAAGGCAAAAGTTTCACAAACACAAGGAAAACTTTGTGGGCACTCTGAACAACTGACATGGAAAGTCCCCAACACTGCTCATCTCAGGGGCCTCCCTCCTTCTCATCCACCTTAGTCTCTTCAGCTCTCCTGAATCTTTTATCTGTCAGGCCCTCCTGACTCAATCTCCTTGACCAGTCTTCCCAGCCCTGCCAGGCCTTCCCCCGCCCACCTGGACCCTCAGCAGCTGAGAGCCATTGGAGTTTTGAGGCCTTTCCACCATCATGTGCTCTAGAGGGGCTCAGAGACACCAAGACCAACTGCCTGTAGATTGCTGCTTTGGATTTTTTCTTTTGAAAAAACAAAAAAGCCGTTGAAAACAGGAAATGAACCCCATAAACCACACACAAGTTACACTGATCACACCCAGATAGAACTAACCCTGTTGAGGCAGGATATTTTAACAAGCCTCAAGGTTTTTAACTCCAAAGTTTTCCCTTAAAATATTTATATAATTATATTTTTTTACTGTTGAAGTCTGTACTTTTCCCATTGACCTCTCTTGACACCCTTGTTGAAGATCACTTGACCAAAAACAGGAAGGTTTATTTCTGGGCTCTCTATTTGGTTCCATTGGTCTGGTTTTATGTCAGTAGCACCATATTTTACTTTAGCTTTGTAATGCGTTTTGAAATCAGGAAATTCAAGTCTCTAACTTTGCTCCTTTTGAAGATTGTTTTGGCTCCTAGGGGACCCTTGAGGTCTCATATAAATTGAGAATTATATTTTCTATTTCTTTAATAAAATGTTATTGAAATTATAATACATTATATTGAAACCCTAGATTGCTTTGCATATCATGGACAGCTTAACAATATTAAATCTTCCAATCCATAGTTTTGTTGCTAATGAGGATGAATTTTCTAAGAAGCTGTTGCTCCGGTACCTTCCCTGGTATCTCTTTCCACTCAACCCTCTGAGGGGGTTCATGCAACTCTCCCAAGTCACTTTGTCACTCCCTGAGGTGAGGACTGGGCAGGGGTTCCAAAGCTTCAGGTCCACAGGCTGTGTGAGAAGATTAAGCAAGCTGGACTCTCTCCCTGCTTTTTCTATTTTTTTTTTCTCTCTGGTTTAACTATCTATTAATGCTATGGGTGATGTTATTCTTTAATCCCTCCTCATTTCTTCTGGAAGACAAAAGGAGGCATTCCTTGGGGCAATGGGCACACAATGCAGATCACAAATGGTGTTTTATTGAATTATACACTTGAAACCAACCAGTATTGTTTTGCAAATCAATTTTACCACAAAAAAATTAATCAGAAATAAACAAAAATAGACAACTTGTGATTTAAACAGGTTGGTGACTGGTTCGTTGAACGCATCATTAATTTGTCAGAAATACTTGAAATTCATTCATGAAAAATGTAGTCAAATTATTAACTAGACATTCTAAAGCTTTGTCTTTCATAAAGGAAGTAACTGAATCTTTGGAAGACATCATGAGCATGTGTGTGCCTTAAGTCTCAGGAATGATTTCAGACCTGGAAAGCAGGCTTCTTACCAAGTAACAGATCTGACATGAACCAACCCCTTAGGTAGTGCCTAGCCCCCTTTTCATTCCAATGGAACCAGATTATCTGGAAGGATGTCTGACAACACACATGTCCAAGTGGGTGGGAAGCCATGGTACCTTCCTCTAGAGCTGGTACCATGAAGAACTTCAACTGTGGGGACAATACTTACCCCACTGAAGAACACAGGAAAGAAACAGGTTGTTTTAAAAAGCTTTTAATAATATGAAGAAAAGACATGTTAAAGTTCTATGAATACAGTGATAAGGACAATCATTATCCCATAAAGATATGCTGAGCTTTATCCTTAGAACCTTTAACTGTTACATTTCCTTACAGAAGGCACTTTGCACGTGTGATGAAGTTATTGGGATTTGATGGAAAGACTACTCTGAATTTTTGGGAGGTCTCCCTTCATGGATTCTCAAGTTTTCTTATGAGATAGAGATGATAGAGATAGAGATAGAGATAGAGATAGAGATAGAGATAGAGATAAAGATAGAGATAGAGATAGAGATAGAGATAGAGAAACTGATGATAGATGTTAGATAGATATATAGATAGATGATAGATGATAGATGATAGATAGATGATAGATGATAGATAGATAGATAGATAGATAGATAGATAGATAGATAGATAGATAGGGATTAAAAGGAAAAGAAAAGAAAAAGCAGATATGAATTTGGGAGCAAGGGAGGGAAGGCATGTGATGTAGGGACATGAGCTAAGAATAAGAAAAGGCCCCAGAAGTTTTAAAAGGTTCTCCCAGAGAGTCTGGGAAGGGAGCAGTGTCCTACAGACTCACACAAGATTCCAGCACAGTGACACCCATTTCCAGCTTCTGGTCTCCAGGACTGTTAGAGATTGTGAAAATAGGATGTTGGAAAACCAGGACAAAGGAAATTTTA